ACATAATCGTTCATCGTGTGTTACCGGTGTCGATAGACGATTTCAATATAATCGTACATCATAAACATATATCACACGCAAACAGATTATTAACTTGTCTTCCGACTGAATTTGATGATTTATAACGCAACATCGGACGCCGCTGTAACTTCGCTACGCTACAGCACGTGTCCTGAATTGGATTATGATAACGAGAGGATAAATAAAATTCGATTAATTAACAATTAGACCGGGAAAAATAGAATTTCTCTCAATATTAATTTCCATAAAAATTTTCGATTGACTTTAATGAAAAGTATACCAAGGAATTTAATTTAAAGAATCGACAATGTCAAGTAAAGATCACAGTTCCGGCGCACTGTGTACGTATTGAACGTTTCACGGTTCATTATCGACGTTCATTATCACACCAAGTGAAGGAGCAAAGATGAATAAAAGCGTTAGTACAACACGATACCGCGTAACACTTGGCTCATCGAGTACTTCACGGCAGTCGGTGAAATTCGCTATACGGCAGAATGCAGTTTCCGCGCGGTTTACGACGAGCGGAGAACGATCAAAACTCGTCGCCTCGTCGTTGACGTTACCGTTGTTCAAGTTGTCGTACGTGAAAAGAAGTCGCCGGGGAGTTCCGCTCGGCAAGAAGAGAGAATCGCGCGCGCGCGCGTCGCGCACTTTAATTGAAATTCTTCTCTCACCCACGACGCCCTATTCACGTCCGGTCGTGCCGTATAGATCATCGCGCAAACGTACAAAGGAAACCACGTACGCCGCATAGCGTAGCACGCCGAAGAAAATATCAGAAGACCGCGAACTCTAATCTATACACGCACATAGAGGAAAGGGTTTCTTTGGATTTAGTATATGTATTTGATTGAGTTTGTTTGTGTAAACAACGTAATTTAGCATCGAATGTTATTTCGTTTGAATGAAAACGTTGTTTAACTAGAGCAAACCATACGTTGTTAAGAGAAATAATAGTGTTATTTAGATAATATTTGGTTTTCAATAAAAAAAAATTAGTTTTATTATATATTAAGTATTGTTGCATTGGAACAAACAAAAGGAGTTCTTCAATGCTTTTCTAACATAGTGTTACTTCCTTCAAGTAATTTATTGCTCGTGACAATCATCATAATGTTTGGATGAAGATACAAGAGAAATATGTTATTTGACGTTTGTTGCTTAAGATGTTTATTATTTAAGAAACGAAATAATTCTGCTTGTTAAATCAAACGCTCGTTTGTTTATTGCATTCTAGAAGACAAGTTTATTTCAATTAAAATTTTATTCTTTAAGAGATTTTGTTCTTTTAAATCCAAAAAATCTTTCTTTCTGTGTACAGCTGTGTCCGGCCAATTAGAAGAGTGTCGTCTTCCATTAGGATAACGCCAGAATCTGACGTTTTTTGCAGACCCGGCAAAAATTAATGCAGTTTGACTGGAATGTCCTACCCGCCGTATTCACCTGACCTTGCACATTCGGATTACCACATATTCCAGTCCCTATAAAATTCTCTTGATGAGAAGAACTTAAATTTCCTGGAAGCCTATAAAAACTACCCGGGCCAGTTCATCGCTCAGAAAGATGCTAAGTTCCGGGAGGATGAAACTGCCTCGAAGATTGCGAAAAGTAGTGAAATGGCACATATGTGGTTGAATAACTCTACACGGAAAAAGAATTGGTCTTAGATCAAGAATAGATATTTTCATATATAAGCAAGAATATTATAATCTTCTTAGGAAATTTTTAGTCTTGAATTAATTTGAAATAATACTTGCATCGATATAAATTCAATCAAATCAAGACTAAAAGTGTCCTAAAAAGATTACGATATTCTTGCTTACACGTAAGATTATCTATTCTCGATTTAAAACTAACCTTTTTCCATGTATGTACAAATATCTAAACATTATCTTCGAACTTCACTTAGAAAACGCTACAAACTTTTGTTCTCAATAGTAAGCAATCAAATAACTCTACTTATTACATTACGAAAAATAACTGAAAATTAGTTACCAGACGTAGTTTTTAAACTGCGGTAGCTAATTCTTACGACTATAATCGCACACGGAACAAAAGAATTAGCTCCCACTCTGAAAGCTAGATCTGCTAACTAAGTTTCACTTGTATTATATAGCTAGTTTTTAACTGTGAGAGTTAATTCTTCGCTTTCCCGTGCGCTACTTCATTTCCGCGTAAAAAGATTTGTTCCGATGGCGGTGTGTTTACATCGCAGCCGCATGATAATTTGCGAATGAATACGCGCTAAAATAAGAATTAAGCACGCTCTATGCGCACCTCTCGACGTACCTCGATTATCCACTCGAAATTCAATGAAAAAGCAAAACCTGCCGCGCATCGACGCACGTTATTATTAGAATCATCGTTATCGCGATTACCGTGATTAATTAACGCCGGTACTGTACACGAGTACTGCGATCGACGATTATTAAAGCTTACGAAGAATAAAGCAGATTTACATTGGCCGTCGTGTTTGGAAATTCATCAATATGTATCGCCAAGTAATACTCGATGGCACAATATAACGTGGCCTCGTGGCGTGACGATCCCAATAAATCATCGGGGAAGCACAGGTCGTTACATGTTACACGAACCACCACGCAGACAGCAGAAACTTTAGAGGGAAGGATGGAGAAGCGGCGGCAGGGAAGGGTACACCCGACAGAAGACCCGAAAGAAAAATCTCGGCAAATACTGATCGCTTTAATTGCTTGCGCGAGCGCTCCGTTTATGTATTTTACATTAACTTCAATCTCTGACCCTTCCCCCTTCCTCTTTCCCGCCGTTCACCCACTTCGCCATTCCCAGCGCGCCTTTTTGTCCTCCCTTTCCCTTTTCCCTCCCGCTCTTCTTGATACTCTATTATTCAGACCAGTTCTTGCGCGCACTTGGCGGATCAAAGAGATAACCAGCAGGGATATCCAATTTATCTTCCTCGGAGGGGGAAGGAGCTTTGACCGGCTCCTACCGATTGTAATTGCAATTAAACGGCCGGCGGCAACTCGACAACGAATTCTTACGATACGTGCAGGATTTCCGCTCGAACTTCGCCGAACGCGATCGCGATACGTTGACTTCCTCGCGAAGTACACGCGGGTCTCGGATAATTAGAAACATTCAGCGCCTCGAGATCTCGGCGATGTCCCCGGAGTGTTTCGGACGCGATTAAACATCGCTTGACACAGTGACGAGAGATTAATCGGATCGACAAGTATCGGCGCGTCGAATTTCCTGAGAATTCAGTCTGTGATGATAATCGTTTATACTTTGGCTTGTCCGAGATGTTCGTGTGAGTTTCAATAGATGCCTCTACGAGCGTTGGGTAAATAAAAATGATTGAAAATATGCGATGCCTCCGCATCGTTCGATAAGTGACATTTCAACGCGTCACTTGGCAAACATTTGGTTGAGATCGTTTGAGTCTGTGCTTCATTACTGAGTTTTGAGGATGGGAAGATAAAATAGTGCATTTTCGACGTGTGATATTTTTCTACTACGGTAAAGGGAAAAACGCTGTGCGGACAACGAGCAAAATTTGTAAAGTATATGTAAATTCGTGAAATATACGAAGACAAAATGAGTTGCACGAGATCGGTTGTTCTGCCATATTCGCCGAACATTGTGCCAGACTACCACTCGTTCCGGTCTTTAGGAAATTCTTCGAACGGGAAAACATTCGACCGTTTGCAGGCAAGAAACCATGTGAATGACTTCTTGGCTTCTCCAAACCGGCCGAGTTCTTCGAGGACGGGATTCTACGGTCGCTTGAAAGATGGGTTAAAATAGTGGTGAACAAAACGATGAATACTTTGTTGAACAAAGTTTCCATTTAGTATCCAAAAATTCCGGGTCATTTTGGCCCAAAAAAGACTCGTGTGAACTTCTCGGACAAGCCGATAAATACAATAATTATAAGGAAGTAACAATTTATAATTTCAACATCCTTATTTTTCAAAGCGACGCGTTCACAATTATATTGCTTGAGACTCTTCCGAACGCACATAAATAACGTAAATAACGATAATCTGTGAATCGCAGTGGAGTGGAGGTTCGGCAAGAAGGTTCGATCCGCATCGCACAATAATTTCTCGCACACGCGCTCAACTCCCTCCGTGGAACTTCCGCCATTTTTTCGCCGGCGTTTTAATAATCGCGACCGACCCGAACGAAGTTTCCAGCTGGAGCCGCAGCTATATTCGCCGTAACTTCCGACCGTCGATCTTTGAATTCCGGCCGCTCATGAATACGCGAATGCGCGGCGCGCAAATATTCTCAGAGCGGGCGAAACCGGCGGAAAGCGATAACTTCGCGTCGCGCTGCGCCTCGAGTGGCGTATCGACCGTTAAAGATCGATGTAAGCCGTCGAAAGAAGGCCGAATTACGGAGTTAGTTATGGACGTAAAGTAGCGAGTCGCATCGGGGAATTAACGGACACGTTGTTGCTCGACGAGGGTCGAGTAAAGGCGATTTGCAGATTAGCACCGGCTGCGCGCCGATCTATCGAGCTATCGAACGCGCCATACGGTAAAAAAAATAGTAGTATCGTCCAGGAAAGAGTCCTTTGACCGAGACGACGGCGAGTAGCAACCAATCGCGCTACTACCCGTGTCGCTAAAAATACGTAAGAAAAATATTATAACTTACCGCTACATCATGAAAGGCTCTCAGCCGTGGGGAACAAAGAAAATGGCGCCTAAGTTATATTATTCAAACAGCCGATCGAAACTGATTTTCTCCATCGCGTCTCTCTATTTATATTTAGGACTCTAGTATAGTGATTTTTCGTCTCGCAAATAACCTTCCTTCGAGCAAAATCGGGACAACCTTGAAGATTAAACAAGAAACTCGGGGAGATAAGGATGGCACGATCAGCCTTTATCAGTGTTGCGCTACACAAGCCGCCGATCGCGTTGCGTGAATAGTAATAAAATAAGAAAAGAAAGGAAAGAAGAAATGAACAGAGAAGAGAGACTCACCGGGATGGCAACGCAGTCTTCGAGCTCGGCGAGGGGCGATTCCGAGCAGAAGGTGCCTTCGGTGAGGAAGGGCGGCCGGGGGGGCGGCGGCAACCGGAACTCAGGGGGCGGCCCGGGGCACTCCGGGCACTCCGTGCTCTCCAGCGTCTCCAGCTCCTCCATCCTCCACCTCAGCGTGCTGAAAGAACATAAGAATCATCGATTAATTTCAATGGCGATGAACCGTTAGTCGGAATCGCGAAAATACGGAGGAGGGGACCGAATAGAAACGCGTGATTTTTTAAACAAGTATCGATTGACGTGGAGAACGTCGTGCTCGAAACGATCGCAGCTCCACGGTGCGATAATGCGTCGAAGCTGCGGAGAAACATTAACGATTCACGGTGAATCAAGCTCTGAGCGTGAAATCTGACGGACTTCGGAATAACAATGAATGCGGACGAACGCAGAGAGAACGCAGAGAGATAACCGGGGGAGGGGAAGATCACGATGCGGCCGGTATGCTAATGTCTGGGGACTTAATTAAGGTCTCATAATGAATCAGTCACGGGACTCGCCTGAGTCGCGAGTAGGTGCACGCAATTGTGCCGTTTGATTAATTGTCCTCGCACGGCCCCCCGCTTCTCGCGACAGCATCGCGGCTGCGAGGAGGGCGCGGGCAGTGCGATACGTCGCGGAACACATATTCGTCATCCGCGATCGTTGATCGATCGATCAACTTCCAACGGCCTTCGCCGGCGATGATCCTCGCGGCGAGCCTAAATTTCAGCAAGTAGAATTTCACGCGCATCGCATAATCGTGTTTGCGTTCCGGTAGCACCGGAACGTGGACGCGCTTCTACAAAAGTGCACGCCGGAAAAAGGATTTGGTAACAATTGGATTACCAAAATTTGGTTAAATAGTTTTAATTCAAGTCAATAACTGGTAAATAGTTTTAACTATTGTAATAACAGTAATATTGCTGTACAAGATTTCCATTCAAGTCAATTGTTCACAGTTATCTCATCCAAATTTTCATACAACTGAAAATTTAAACGAATACGTCCGGTTGCGATAATAGAAATATCATATTTTTCGTCATTGCACTTTAGTCTATTAATACCTACTTAGACTATTAATATTTATTTATACGAACTAAGATTTTTTTTTCTGTGTAATAGTAGTTAGTTAAATGACGTGTGCGTAGCGCGCGCTTGTTAATCCAGAAAATAAAAAAATTTGTCGAATAACGAAAAAATTAAAAACAAACATTCGGAAAAAAGTAAACTTAGAGAAAACTGCGACAGTATGAAAAGAAGTTGCGCATTGAAAAAATACAATTAAAATTATAATCATTTTCGACAACTCTTTCTCTGGTTTTAATCCGAAGAATAGTAATAGCAACATGCATGTAAAATCATGTTCTCATTAACATTATAATAATATTTGCTATAAAATTGATTCTCCTGATTATGATTTCTCTTTTAGAGAGAGAGAGAGAGAGAGAGAAGGACGATGAAGAAGAAATAAAGAGAAGCGCGAAAGAAAGCGAGAGGGAGAAATAAAGCGAGCGGGAAGAAGCGACTCGGTGATGAAGAGCGTATCGAGGCACTATTTTACACATACCAACCTCATTCCATGGAAGTAACGGCGTCCAGAAATTACGAACGCGGAAGAGGCGAGCCGGGAAAGCGGGGACGAGAAACCGGGGAGGTTGCGGGGCGAGTTCGTAGCTCCCGCGGGTTGAAAAGAGGGCGAAAGGCGGGCGAAGAAGGGGCGAAGAGAAGAGGAGGCGCGCTCAGTTTAATAAATGCACTCTTCCTTCCGTTCCGTTTCTTGGCTCGGCTTGGCTCCGGCGATGCGGCCGACGAGAAACTGGCATCAACCTCTTCCCTTCCTCCCTCCCAGCCTTGGCTGCGGTGGTTGCCTGTTTCTCCCCTGCGTTGCCGGACGAGCGTCCCGTCTCTCTCTCTCTCTTTCTCTCTTTCTCTGTCTTTTTCTCGTTGCATCGTATTTCCCTCGTTCGCATGCAGAACGAGAAGCAGAAGACCGGTCGAGCGAGCGCCGGCGCTCATCTCGTTTCCGGCTGCGCAGACCAAATCTACAGTTGGCGTGATTTTTATTTAATTCCCACCCCCTGCTCAACTCTTCGCGTCGACTCTAATGGTCGGATGTTCTTTTCAGAGAGAGAGAGAGAGAGAGAGAGAGAGGGAGAGAGAATTCTCGGGATATCTGTTTCCCTTCCCCCTTCCTACGACCGTGTCGCTTGCGTGCGCACGTGCGAACGCACCGCGCGATAAAATCGCAGATGAGCGAAACGCCATGTGCTGATGAAACGACGCCTCATTGTCTTCGTAAACCGGACGAGTCTTCTTGTGACTCTTCGTCTTTAACGCGTAATTCCTCGACATTTAACATAGCAATGGCTGTATTATGGTGAGAAAATATTCCGCGAGGAAAAGCGTAGACCAAGTTCGTGATATTCGTGGGGGGATACTCTGTTTACTTTTGCATTACCGAAGTCACTCCGGGTCATAAATCTCACAACTATATTTTAATTTCTGGCAAGGTAATTTCCATTGTCGTTTCAGTTATCAGGACACACATACGTGAGAATAATACGCAAGGGAGGCTGATGGGAATAATTCACTTAAAGTTAAAACGAGACGGGAAAAGTGATTAGCGATGCTATCGTATTCCTTCTCGTGACTTGTTTTAAAACTAGTTTTTCACTTACTTCTGCGTTAATCAAGATAAATCCGATGGTTAAAAACGAACGAAATGAAGACGCATGTTCGCGAAGTTACCAGGGTACCGGTTGCACTTCAAAGCGAAGATGAAGTGGGAGATAATACGGACAGTGTCACGATGAATCACAAGCAGAATTTTGAATTAAATTGTCCACTTTTCTACTAAGTGGCGCTGGTCTCCGACATGGTTTTACTTGAAGTAAGGCCAGGCTTTCCCTCCCAGATATAATGACTCTTTTCATGTATTAAATAGTCAATTGTAACGGAACGTGGTAAGAAACATTTCGCGTCAAAATCGATCCTAGTTAAAATTTTTGTATTAAATTTCTAACATATCTGCGTTAATTTAACATATTATATTTATGTTATCTCAACACTTTGGGCTGGGTCGATGTTCAACATGTGTAAGTATTAAAATAATACATTTTATATTTCAGTGTCGATTAATGTATTATATTATATAATTTTGTGTTAATTTTTGACGTAATATTTGAGCTACTTTTAACATATTTATCTTGTGTTAAATTAACAAACAATTTGTCAAGTGGACCGTTTAGAACATCTGAAATGTGATAAATTTAACACTAAATTTTTTATTGTGCGCATAAAATTTCGATTTATACACTGAAAGAAAAAAAAAATGCTACGTTCAAGTAAATATTTGTTAAGAAATATTGGAATAATTATTTGGATTAGGTAAATATTACTTGAATACATAACATTTTTTTCTTTTAGTGTGCTACATTCAAATAATATTTATTTCATCCGAGCAGGATAACTCCTTCAATATTTTTTAGCAAATATTTACTTGACTGTAGCACTTCTTTCTTCCAATGTACGTTTGAAAACATACTCGCATGCATGCATTCGCAAATTATCCGGATGAATTATGTAATATGTTACGTTTCAATAATATATTACTTCCGACAAAGGCGAGGGAAGTTTTCGAGTTGCAGTAAATCGATATAGTTGTCGCGCGAACCCGAGAAGCGCTCGTTCGCGCCGGTCTGGTGCAAGCTCTGTCTACCGTCGAACTTGCGAGCGGCAAGACGAGTAGAAACGGAGAGAGGAAAAAGCAAGAAAACGAGTAAACCAGAGGGGACACCGCAAAGTGGTCGGATGCTTTTTCCGAGTGGTCGAGCGAGCGAATCGACTGTTGGGGACGGGAATGGCCGCGGCCCTTTTCGGCGCGCCGGAATTGCCGAGGGATTTATCGAGCGGCGTTCTTACCGATTGGAGGTCGTCGAAGTCCTCGAGAAGCTATCGAGTTAGAAGAAATGGTCCGGTGAGACTGGAACACCGAGGACGCGGCTATTGCATGATCGATCTTATTAAAAGCACGAGCTTTACTTGTAATATTAGCTACCCTCGACTCGAGCAAGTTAGTCACGATATTACTGTAAGAAACCACGGGAGAAGAACCGGCAAAATAGCGGCCATCAATTGTGAACAATTGGAGGCTAATTTTACAAATGTTTTACATTGTCTGGTACAAAATTCAAAGTATTCACAAAGAAAAAAGAAAAAACGAGGACCGTGTGACATTTTAAGCAATTCCGAGTGGATAAACAAACGAATAAAATTCAATTCGGTTGTTTTCCACTCGCTCGACGCTTCTCTCTCTCTCTCTCTCTCTCTCGCTATCTCTCTCTGTCGAGAAATAAAAACACCTCCGGCTGCGCCGTGGATAAGGGTTAAATTTCGTCGTGGACCAACACGAAGGGGATTAATCCCTTTTTCGCGTGCCACCGAATGCGCGCCCGTGTTGACCGCGCTACGTTTTAATTAGGCAAATTTTCGTCCCGCGGCCATTTGTCACGATAAAGCCTCGTCCGTACGCGACACCCTTTCGCCTTTCCCGAAAAATCCCCCGACTGACCCGGTCACGTACGCCGCGTACCGGTATTTATCATTTCCTCCGGCGCGAGCTTTCCGTAGCTTGGCAGACGGCGTATTTTTCCCCGAGGCTTGTACAGGCTTCCGCGAGAGAGGACGGGGAATTATGATCGTCGCGCGACATCGCCGGGCCATTATGCATTTTAGGCGACTCTTCCCGTTCCTTTTCTCCCGTATATCCGGCGAATTCACCTCTTTACTCGTTCCGAAAATACTTCCGAAAATAATGACGTTTGGACGGTCCTTGAAAAAGATTTATATGGTTTCTCGCTTTCAACGTCAGAATTTAATTTGGCTGTAATAATGAATCTTAATTGCAATTTACAGATTACAGGATATTTATTATAATCTTTCTCATACTTGAATTATATTATAAATATTGTGTGCTGTCTGAAAAGTACTGGGCTAGTACCGAAACATGATGATTTTTGTGTCGATTTTAAGTACGAGGTCAGTATCGATTCTGGATATGAGGTCAATACCGATAATACTGTTTTTTAATACTGAGCCAGTACTGGGTCAGTACCAACAACATAAGTCCATTCTTCGATA